GGTACAATTTATTCTCCACAACTTTCAACAAAACTGGATTTTCACTTGTGGGTGTGTGGTTTTCTGGGACCAATTCATCCCATAAGGGTTTTAAGCTTTCATCCTGTGGTTGAGCTGCTTCAAACTGCCTCATATGGCTTTGGTTCAAACTGAAGGGAATTTCTTGGCTGACATTTTCAGTTTGTGAGGTAGATGGTTGCTCATCTGTAACAGTGTATTCACCCTCCCCATCTCGTTCAGCTTGGCTTCTGGTAATAACACCAACATGTCTGCAGCGCTCAGCCAAATCATTGCCCAACAATACTGGCACTTCTAGATCATTAAACAATCCCATTCTCCATTTTCCAGTGAAGTTCTTATATTCTATTGGGATTTCAGCCACTGACACTTCGGACACAAGGCCATAAATTCCTCTCAATTTGTACTTTTGGCCTGGAAGTATCTGGTCTGCCTTGACAAACTCTGGCCTAATGAGCGATACTTCCGACCCAGTGTCTCTGAATCCCATTAGTTCTTGACCCTTTACTTTGATCACCCTCAAATAATCTCCATTTGACTCTTTCTCAGTACTCCATACACGCATTATCTTCACAGGCTCTTCCTGCGCATGTGGAGACTGACTTTCTTCGTGTGGAGATATTTGCCTAACCACCTTAACTGGCTTTGGTGGTGTAACTGGCCTTTTCTGGGTGTTTAATTTGGGGCAAGCCGTTTTCTTATGACCCTCTTGATGGCAGAAGTAACAGACAAGTTTTCCTGTGGCAATCTCTGGAATGCGGTCCCTCCTGACAGGATTTTGATTTCCTACGTCAGTTTTCTCTTTTGGAACCCATTCCCTTGGTCTCTTGGTGGCTCCTGAGCCATGACTCACATTCCAGTCATGCTCCATCTCATCCAACCAAGCCGCGAGATCTGACACTTGTTTAATCTTCTTGTCCTTCACGAACCACCTCATTTGAATGGGAATCAGTCGATAAAACTGCTCCATACAAACTAAGTGTTTTAACTCCTCAAAAGTGGTCGTTTTACTCCCTTCCAGCCATCTCTCTAAGGCTTTTTCCATTCGGCTTCCCAATTGTGAAAAGGTTTCTCCTGGCTTCCTTTTGATCTCCCTGAACATCTTTCTACTTTGTTCAGGAGTCAAGCCAAACCTCAGCTTCACCCTTTCTTTAAATATGAGGTAATTCCCACTCTCTGTCTCTCGCAGATCAGCATAAACCTCATTAAGTTCCCCACAAAGCAGGGGCCTCAGGTACACCATCATTTTATCTTCAGGTACCTCAAAATCATGAGCAGCCCGTTCAAATGCAGCGAGAAATGACTCGACGCAGTCCCCTTTTACATAACGGGGAAAGTTCTTTAACACCCTTTGCATGTTAGAGTCTTGCTGTTGGCTTAAGTTAGGAGTTCTCTCATGTTCTCTAAATTGTAGTTCTGCCATTCTCTCCTCATGTCTTAAACGCTCTCTTTCCCTTTCTACCTCAACTTGCATTCTTTCTCTTTCCAATTGGATCATTCTTTCCTTCTCTCTTTCTTCAGCTTGTCTTTTTTCTCTTTCCCTTTCAGCCTGAAACTCAAGTTCTTTCAACCTCATTTCTAGCCTAAGCTTTTCAATGGCCAAAGAGGTAGCTATCTGTTCTTGCCTACCCTCTGGTATTTGGGTCTCAGTTTCCTCAACTACAGAAACAGTAGTTTCCCCTTCTCTCTCTGGGTCTTCAGGAGTGCCCTTCTTTGTCTTCGGTGGTGCCATGGCCTAATGTGTTGTAAAATGGCGCTAGAGGTGTTCTCTCTCTGAGGTAATTCTTGGTGTCATGTTTTGACAAACTTTTACCTCAGGATTTACACAAAAATGCCCTGGATTGAGATGTTACATGAATCCACACCGCTGCAAACCAATTATAATAACTTAGAAGAGATATCTGGGCAGGGGGTCAAGGAATCCCAACCACTGTCCCTCCTTCAATAAGGAATTCACACCACTTTGGTTCTAATAGTGCTTGAGGGGATGTCACGTTGTGTAGAACCTTCGCTGCCACCATAAAAATAAAGAAACACGAACTCTCTAGCTATTTAAAATGGTAGAATGCTGTTTGAATTAATAAAAGGCTTTTTTACTCCACCAAAAATACTGTTAATTATCAAGGGCTTCCTTTGAGGGGAAAACAGGAGAGGTTGATTCAATAAGGAAAGGATTCAAAACCAAAAATGGCACTTGACTCAGGCTTGACTTTTAAAAATAACAAGAAAGAGTTTATTGATTATAAATTACAGAATAACACGAGAATGCAGGTTCAGAGGCTTGATGGTTACAATAAAAAGTGTTCTTGTTTCTTAAAAGCGTATTGGTTACTTGAGAGAATGTTCTTTTCTTAGTTACAATTTCTAGAACATAAAAACCCAGCTATTTTTCTTTCCTAAAATAGCTGTAACTCAGTCTGCCACAGCCTACTGTGCTGTGCAAACTACAGGCAAGCTGCCTATTCTAAACAGAGACTCCTAAACAATCCAACTCCTACTCTAATCTCTCTCAGAACTAAAACTGCTCTCTACTCTACTCAGAACTCAGCTGTACTAAAACTGAACTGTCAAAACTATCTCTTCTCTTTCCCTCCATCTGGCTAACTCCGCCCCTATTCCCTAAACCAATCCTGGCTGTTGCTGGGCTGGCACAGGCCTCGGCCACTCCCCCTTCCGAACTGGAGCTTTTCCCTAAACTAAGATGGCTCCAGCAGCTCTCTGCCAGGCCTTCTAGCTGAAACTACCTAGCCTGTCTCTTCCTGGGCCCTGCCACCCTGGCTGGCAAGGTAAGGGATCTTTACACCATCAATAAAACATCATAATACATATTACAGTAAAACATTAAAACAGCAATTACAATCAATAACTATAATGGTCAGTCGTCACACTAAAATCGTTGCTCATCATCCTCCATCCATATCTCAGGGTGTTGGCTCACTCGTCGAATGCCTGTCTCCATAACCAAGTCTTCACCTGTTTCCTAAATGTCAGGATAGAAGGGGCGGTTCTGATCTCCAGTGGGAGAGAGTTCCAGAGTCGAGGGGCCACCACCGAGAAGGCCCTGTCCCTCGTCCCCACCAGGCGCGCTTGCGAGGCCGGTGGGACCGAGAGCAGGGCCTCTCCAGATGATCTTAATAATGGAAGAATACGTTCGGAGAATACCCTCATGAAAAAGCTGGAATGTTAAATAGCCTCTGTGTGTCTGTCTATTATGTTGTGTGTGTATGGCATTGAATGTTTGCCATGTATATGTACATTGTAATCTGCCCCGTGTCCCCTGTGGGGTGAAAAGGGTGGAATATAAATACTGTAAATAAAATTATTTCGGAGGAGAAATGTAAAAACAATGCTTATTAGAGGGGTGAGAAAATTGAACTATCCTTATGTCTTAACACACACACAAACTAAGCTAACATTTTCTTTTATAAATACCATATTCTCTAGGAGAGCTTTGAACATACTCATGTGCAGAACCTTGACCTAACCACATTCATTTTTTTCCCATGGAGTGGAAAAGGCCACAGCTACTACTGTTCAGAACTACATATACTTGTGGGAACACACTGTTTGCAGGCATCAAAGAAGCTACTGAACTGGAGCTTTAAAAAAAACCCAAGCTTTTAATTCAGAGTCTCTGTGGGTCATCTCTGTATGGAATCTTATATGTGACAATTGCAACAACTTCTCTGCCTTGTGGTGTTTATAGTATACACATCAAGTGCCGCAAACTTCTACTTTTACTGCTTTTTTGTGCCTTTTAAAGCTTTCTCTATAAATCACAACAAAATCTTACTTATTTTCTTTCATTATTCTGCTCTGCTTCCATTGATGACTCTTAACTTCCTTCCAGACTGGCAATATGAGGGTAAGATGGCAAACTGTAACTTCCTGAAAATTGCTTGTCTGTATTTTTTTCCCCATTTTTTACTTTGTTTAACATTTTATTGAAATTCTGTTCACTCTCACTAATTAGAGACTTGTGTTGCAATTAAATTTCAATTATGTTAGTTTCTGTTGTGATGCTTTAATTATGATTTATTCCTTTTAATCATTCTTTTATGTTCGTATTTTGGGTTAAATTACTATCACATTGTCTCTGTCCTGGAGGACTTCTTTTCCATAGTAGTCTCAGTGGGCTGTCTGTTTAGCATAAGACATGATTAAAGAGTAGCAAGTAAATTGTATTGTGTTGTGATGTGGCGAAGACGTGGTGTTTGTGTGTATTATATAAGAATATTAAGTATAACAAGTAAATCTTAGTAAAACAATACATGCTAAAATTAAGTTTGAAATGTGTTGTTGTTACTACCAACTACTGGAGCATAGGCTACAACCTGCCACAAGGAATTTGTTTAATTAGGTGTAGGTGAAATCTGGGTAAGTACTTTGGAAACAGTTGGGTGCCTCTGGCAGATTGTTTAACAAAATTTTGTTTCCCATGTTTCCCAAAAACGAGCAACCAAGCAGTCTGGGTCATAGTGACTGTCAATGTATTGAACTGATGGTGGGATTTGAAGTAACTTGTATTTTCATGTTTGTAGATTGCAAGTTGGCCAGAGCAGGGCCTCCAGCAACAATAGTACCGATAGATGAAGAAAGTCGGAATGGTGAGTATGCATTAAATGTTCATACAGTACGAAAAGGTCACCAATGACAGTTTAATGTTTATTTTTCACTGTGGTAATTGTGTTTGTTTTTCAAATAATGCATATTTTTAATAATAAATCATTATGCGGTGTTTCCAGGCTTCCAGGTTTTAAAGAGCTTCTAAGGAAGATTGTCAGGTTTTTGGATACAGGGTTCCAAATTGGAAAGCTAGACTCTACTTGGCTTAAGACATTTTGTTATTTACCCTATGCCTGATTTCCTCATCTTTCAAGCTTCACCTGAGACATCACACATAGCTGAGTCTTTCCTTCATTGGCCAAATAGTATTGGTTTCCAAATGGTATTGGTTTTCCCAGGGAGATTAGGCAGGCCCCCAACCTGTCATCCTTCCAGAGAGAGTTGAAGACTTGGATGTTTAGACAAGACTTTGACAATATCTAGCCCAATGGTCCACAATTATGGTACAGCACAGCACTTTCATCCTATGCACTTGTTCCTTAGCTTCATCTTGCGCTATCCCTTTTCCTTCTTTTTGTTTACAGTTGGCTATGTTTTTACAACAGCTGACACTACAGGTTATTGGCTGCTGTTTTGAGTTCAAATTGTTGTTTTATATATTACTAGTTTATCTTGTATTGTATTGTGTGTTTATTTTATTTTATGTGTTTTTTTAGGCACTTTATGTCATGTGTAAGCTGCCCTGAATCCCTTCGGGATGATGGAGACAGGGTACAAAATAAAGTTATTATTAAAAAGTTATTAAATCCTCTGCCCCTTAGTCCCCACATTATTTCCCCATTTCTCATATCTGAGCTTCAAAGATACCACCAAATTCTACTGTGTCTATATCTCATCAGATGGGGGTGAATTCAGTACCACGTGCCAGTTCACCTTCCCTTTTGTGACGGAGCCAGACAGCTTCCTTCCCATGATGAACTGTAATTTCCAGTGGGGCGCCATCATAAAAGGGAATTTAAACTGCCACCATGGCAGCAGCATGGGTGGTATCCCATGTTACATTGACTTCAACAGGGGGAAGCCAGGTGACTGACACTTCCCTCCATGGGATGGGGCAACTGGTGAGTGGCGTGCGGCAACGGGGATGTGGCAACTGGTGAGTGGCGTGGGGCAACAGGTTCACCACACCCCTCAACGGGCACCTCCAGAATTGCCATGAGCCTTGGCAATTCCAGCAGAATGTTTGATGAGGTTGTAAAGTCATCTCCTGGAGACAGTGGTATTGGTTTCCCCTTAGTAGCCAGCTGTAGTCTCTAGGAGAGAAGAAGAGAAAGAATGCATATTTGCAGTAGAATTCTTTTAGATAAGGAAAATCTACCCCAATTGACTTTTCTTGTTTATCTGCTTCTGGTTGCCATTTTAGTAATATTCCCTTGTGTCTACCAGTAATGTAATGTTGTGGACCACTATACAGATTTATATGATTATGGCTAAATGGTTGGGGAGTGGGGTGAGACAGAGAGAGGATGAGAACATGAGAAACCTATGCACATGTACATTGATAATTCAGCAACTGCTTGTGATGATAGTCATGAAACGTTATATCACTTAATGTGGTATTAAATAGTCATTTTTCATGCACACTTAGAACTGATTTTGTGGGTTGTGGTTACCTGGTTCTAGGAAGGCCCTAATAGCTGGAAGAGCTGCAAATTTAATCCTGTTTTGCCTAAGGATTTTACATTCCAGTGCTGTTTGAGAGTTCTCTATGGTGTGAACACTTGCTAAAGTCTCTGGTGGCTTGGCCTTTAGCAACACACCATCCATTCTTTTTTCCACTATTGTATCTTCTTGAGCTGTTGCCCTCTGGATTTTTGACAAGTTAGATGAGAAGGAAATGAAATTGCTCTGATAGCTTTGTCTTTACGAGCAGGAGAAGCACCAGAAAGCTGTGCTTGCAAGCAGAGCCAACAAACCAATCCCCAGCTCTCCACGTAGGTACTCATAGATCAACTTTTTTGCTAGTATGTTGTACTATGAAATGAAGGTGGGCATAGTACATATCAATGCTATGCCAACAGTCTGTCAAGAAAGAACATCACCATGTTGGCACACCAAAATGAAACACAATTTACTTTTGCTTCTTGTAAGCCAACTTTATGGTTTTATTTATTTATTTACTTGCTGGTTTATTTATCCCAAGTGTGGGTCACAAGGCCAACAAGTTAAAATGGATGTAGATACAAAACATTTTTAACATGAAATTATATAATTCAAAGTAGACCATTAAAAAATCCTAGCTATCGTCTACTTAGCACATGAAAGGTTCTTTCCTCCAACCTAGTTAGCCCACAAAAGACTGCAGAACAAAAAATGTTTTCTTTTGATGAGAAAAAAACAGCAGGGAGGTTGTTAGTTTAACTCCTCTGTGAAGGGAGTTCTAAGGTTTGGAAACAATAACACAGAAGGTCCACTTCCATAATCCCCTTGTTCCTACCAAAGGTACCTGCGAGAGTGATGTGACACAGAGAAGGACCTTTCAGAAGATCTCAAGACATGAGAAGGCTTATACTGGGGGAGACAATGTTTTAGATAACTTGGACCTGAGCTATATAGAACATCATAGGTCACATCCTGTAATTTGAGTTGTGCATCAAAACAAACCAGAAACCAGTGTAGCTGTCTCCAAAATGGAGTTGTGTGTTCCCTGTATGCAGTCTGCATTCAACAATCTGCATTTCATTGCCCTTATTTATTAATGCTATATAAAATCTATTTGCCATAATCATCTTCCATTTGGTAAAATGAAATATGCTAAAAGCAAAAGAAGATGTTAGTGTATACATAATATTCATTTTATATAATATAATTTATTCTCTTATTGATACTGAGAAGCAATAATTCAATGATAATACTCTCTTGTTGCTTAAGTATCATGCTGATAAGTTGTCGCTCATTGTCAGGTAAAACGGTGGTGTGTAATTTTGTGAATCTGTTTCTCTCAAAACTGTATTCATTGCCTTTTAAAGAAAATGAAGGGAACAGTGAGACATTGGCCACTATGTGGGAGGAGAAAAATGTTGAAAAGTAATTACATTGCTCTTCTGAGTGACTCATGCCTTTCTGTTTCACTAATGTCACAGTGTTTTAAAAGTATTCCGTTTGAGTGAATTTTTCTACGGAAATGAATCTACACATACCTGGATCGTTATATCTGAGACTGGATCCATGGTTGTTAAGTGAATGTGTTCCTAATGGAATTTTTTCATGAGTGATACTACTGGAGAATAAGTGATCTTATGAAAATGATAGTAACAGGATTTTAGTGCATACTGTGTCCAGATAGAGATGAGGGAGCGTTGCTTTGTCATGTAAAGAAATAGGGATTTCTGTGTCTTTTAAAAACAACACTCAGAAAAAGTGTTGGTTTCTGGGATGTGCCATTTCTTATACCAGGGGTCCTCAAACCTTTTAAACAGAGGGCCAAGTTACGGTCCCCCAAACTATTGGAGGGCCGGATTATCATTTGAAAAAAATGAATGAATTCCTATGCACACGCCACAAATCTTATTTGTAGTGCAAAAGACACTTAAAAACAATACAATAATTAAAATGAAGAACAATTTTAACAAATATAAACTTATTAGTATTTCAATGGGAAGTGTGGGCCTACTTTTTGCTGATGAGATAGGATTGTTGTTGTTGTGTTCTTTCAAGTCATTTCAGACTTAGGTTGACCCTGAGCGAGGGCTGGGTAAATGACCTTGGAGGGCCGCATTCAGCCCCCGGGCCTTAGTTTGAGGACCCCTGTCTTATACTTCATTATGAGGAGTCATAAAAATCAGGAGGCATCAAACATCTAAAGCCACATGTGCCCCTGGCAACAAGAAATAAATACAGGGATCAAGCATCCACTCCCAAAATGTTCCCCTTGTATTTGGAAAGCTGTTCTCGTTGCTCCATTTACTACACAAGTGAGCATCATTGGAAGGGTCTGTCATAAAGAGAACAGAGCTCTTAGAGTTAACAACCAGATTCATAATGTAGTATGGATTTGCAAACTTGGAGTATCATCTTGACTCCCACTCCTTTTTCAGAAAATCACAATAATCTCTTGTGGAGCATTTGTGAATTCTGTGTGTTGTTTTCTGAACATATTTCAGAGTACATATTTCTTTGAGATTTTTACTGAGCCACTGGCAATTGATAGTACTGTCTGTTCAGAACATTACCTGGTTCTTTGAAGTGATCTGTCAAACAAATAATAGATACTATGAAAAGAGACTCTGATAAACAGATCTGAGGAAAAACTCTGAGGAAACCAAGTCTCATTTTCTCTAGTCAACTGAATAATTGACACTTGAGAAGTACAGGTATACTTTGTTTTAAAATGACAGTATATTCAGATGTGTACCATAATGTATCAGCATACCTTATGAAAGAAAACAGGGTGAAAGGGTTATGCATAAGAGCCTGCATCAATTAAACTAAATGGAAAGATGGATGTGGAGGAGGGAATAAAGTTAGCTCTTGATTTTTAAAGGTCTATCATGACTTTTGTACAGATTCCCATCCATGTTTCCATGCAACATTTTAATATATATGAATCTCATGTTGGAGATCCTTCGATGGGGGTACCCGCACATGGGCCTCTATGAAGAAATCATAGCAGATGTAGGGATAAGGGAAGCCAAAATACATACATTTTTAATCTGATTGACTATATTTACGAAACCACAGAAGGAACATTATTGGAAATGCACTGTTTAAGACCATGGACTATATGAAGGCTTTACATGTTGTGTATTATTGTTCAAAAAGTTGTGAGATACTTGTTATTTGGTTGTAAAGTGAACACAATCTTGGAGAAGGTTGAAAGCTTTACTTCATTATGAACTAACCTAAATCTCTTCAAATTCAGACAGCTCTTGTAATGGAGTTCATCGTGTTACCATAGCTAGGAAGGCTTCCATAATGGGCATCAACATCCTTTTACCAAACAATATCTAAAAAAAACCCCAACTGTGTTATAGAAAAGCTA